ACATTTAACTGATACTGCTCAGAAATTTGTATAGGATGTAGGAACTGTAATAGAAATGATAAACCCTCTGTATATAAGCAGCAAAATAAATTAAAAACAGATATTAAAAGGTATAGGTTTTAGGCCAGTGTTCTCATTGGTCCTGTTTTCTGAACTTCCCATCACTATTTCCTTCATCCTCCTTTAACTGATGATCCCAGAGCAAAGGTCAGGACACCAGCAACACATCTCAACAGGTCCTTGTAACAAACATAACACATTCAGTGAGGACAGGCTGGATAGCTTGGGCTCTTTCATGCTGAATATAGTGGAAGAAACCCTTATAGTTTTTACCTCCTCACCCTTTAACTGTCTTTCTGGCTCTTTCTGCTTATTTATACTTCTCTGGTGATTCTGCACAAAGATAGTGCTCGCTCTAAGCCCAGTTTATCTTTGGCTAAAGTCAGAAGAAAAAGTAAATGCTACTAAATAATTAACTGTGAATATTGGCACCTTGGTTTGATTGGCTTTGTGGAATATCCCATCTTAATTGCTCATTATCTTTCTTCACCAATATGACACCTGCATTCCTTGCTGGAACACTTAGTATCTCAGCCATGTTGTTAAGAGCAGCATTAAGTGGCAGGTACATCAAGGAGCTAACAGTTGGTGCCCTTAGGAGCAGCAGAAAGATGATCATGACAAAGCAAGATAACAATGATGATGAAAAGGAGGAATTCAGTGCAATAAAACTAACCCAGAATTTCTTTATTAGATACTTAGAAATTTCTATTTCAAGTATATGGTCAACTCCCAATAACCACTGTGGGTGGATTATCCAAACCGACGAGCTCTGCCAGGCCAACTGTTTACCCTTCAGCTAGATTTTCCACCCTGTGTCTTAATTTCTAGGGACATTCATCAGCTACTATATCAGTATTTTCTTTCCATTTCTTTTCATGTGCAAGCAACCCCAAGCAGAGAGTAAGCCAGAAAAACAAAAAAGCTAGGAAGTGTAGGATTAATGACAGTCAGAAAAGATAACATGAAAACTCACCAAGATTCCTATCCAGGCCCCAGTTCATCATGGGCATTTGATAAATATTTGTTGAACTGAGTGAAAAGAGTTGTTAGGAAGTTGAATTAGAAGACTGTTAAGGCATCTTCCTATCCTGGTACTCTATAATTCCTCAACACAAAATTATGGAAAGTTTGAAGAAGACCCAGTATATGCTCAAATTTATCAGGAACAAGAAAGGGAAGTTGGAAATGACTCAGCTCAGGCTGAGACAGCTCACAAGGGAATAACTAAGATTGATCCAAACTGTCATGCCTAGGATGATCCCTCATCCCACGAGATGCCCCAAAATTCCCACCCAGAGTCCAAGGGGACTAGAAAGCAGTTTTCTTAGGATTTAAAATGTAGACAAGATCTGAAGTAAAATTCTAGGCCTTAACTTACTTAGAGCCTGAGAAAGGGAGTGTATGTTAGTGGAGTAGTAATATTCTGCTTTGAGGTCCTAGATGATATGCTGTATGTTTTTTCCAGTGTTACAGAAACACACAATGCAGGGCAGGAAAACTTCTTAGAAACGACCTAATCCAACCTCCAGCCCAGTGGAGGAATTCTCCTTACAGCATTCCTAACAGAAAGTCACCCAGCCTCTAGTGAGGACAGCAAGCTCACTGTCTCCAGAGGCAGTAGCATTGCTGCTGGACAGCTCCCGCATGGGCAGGTCCTCTCTTCACTTCAGAGTCCTGATCTTTAACTTCTACCCACTGAGACCATGCCTCTTCCCTGCTCTTTGGGGCACCTCTCCTGCCTCTTCCATTTTTCACTTCTCCCAGAAAACGTCCTTCAATCCTTCAACTGCAGAGCTCAGTGCTGCAGAGTTGAATGCAGTAGTCCACACATGGCCTGGCTTTCACAGAGGATAGTGGGACTATGTTTTTCCTATTTATTTTTAAATTATCACCACCATCTGTTTAATCATCTATTCTAGAATGGTGCCCCAAAATGGCCACCAAAATATCTGGTTCCTTAGAGCTCTGGATCCTCTTTCATTACTTACTGGTCCTTATTTGCTTGTCTTCTGCTGGCTGGTTCATCTCCTACGCTACCAGAACAGTCATATATTATACTGCTTTACAACCACTCACCTGGCACTGGGTAGGGGAATACCCTGGTTTTCCCTAACTTTCTCAAAATATCTCTTCCTTCCCACCATGGATCCTCAATCTGCCTGGCATATACAGATGCCAAATTAAAGAATGAATAAATATATGAATAAATGAAAGTCAAATGTTGCCTACTGGTGATTACACCAGTCTGTAGAGCACATTCCACCATCACAGGGTCCTGTTTTCTCAGTCTTCTGGGCCATGACCCAGCATAGATCATTTCTTCCCAGAAGTAGCATCCACCTAATCTAGCTATTCATTTGCACAGTTTCCTTTCTTTCCTAAAGCTACGGCTAAGGAGAAAAGTTGCAAACACTATCTGACTTACTCGGTTCTTCAGTTTCCCTCCCCATACTTCACTGTCTTTACAACAGTTCTGTTCCAGATTCTGTTTCCAACAGTTGTCACATGTGAACTTGTAGCCAGCAGAATTAGGAAGTCACGAGGTGGGCACGACTCGTTGGTAAGCTCTGCAGCCTGCCACACACTCACACTCCTGGCGAACACGAGCCCCTGCAGGAGGGAGGCAGCAAGCATCTCAGAACAATTCTCCCCACCGAAAGTGGCCACAGGACTCTTGTCTCCCACCTGCTGGAACCTGTGAAGAACCTTCTCTGTTCTCACAAGATACAACACTTGTGACTACCCTGTGGGAAGCGGAGAGCCTCCAACTAGCACATTACTTCCGTGAGAATGTGCTGTTTCTCCTTTTTTATGCCCTTCCTCTCAGTCCCTCTTGGGTTTCATCCCCTTTACCCAACAGAAGACTTTTCCTGATCTTTAATTTCTTCCAATCTGCTTTATTCCATCTCTGCTTAACAAGTCAGAATAAAGAAAAGTGTTCTTCCAACTCTTTTCCCTTCCATTCTAAAGAAAAGATGAGCATGCATTAGCTGCAAAGATGTGATAAACATACTAGAAAGAAAAAAAATGTACCCTTTGGATCCCCAGGGATCCCAATTTCTTCTGGCTCTAAAAGAGCTGAGAGTCCATTATGGGTCCCCATGAAAACTTTTCTTGTAAATTGATTTAGAAAATGCCTGTTTTTATGCCTGTTAGTGTACTAGGGAAAGGGGCTTTTAAAACTGCTTAGTCCCTAGATGGCTAAATTGCTCAATTATCTAGATCAATCATGGGTTATTTAGTTCGTCTCCTTACACCCAAGACAGATAGGAACATTTCTTCTGAATAAAGACCTATACAAAAAAGTCTTGCATTCTCTTTTTCAGTTCAAAAAGCCTTATGTACAAAGTTGAGAAGTTCTTTGAATATTATCCAAATTCCTTTTGTTGGAGCTTAAGATCCTTTGTCTTTTTTCTGGTCCCCAGTGGATATCATAAAGAAAAAAAAATAGACATTATTTGATATCTATTTGTTCACAGCCTTCTGTTTGGAGCTTTTCAGGGCTCCTCATTCTATTTAACATCCTTCCAAGCATTTGATGACTGCTCTTAAATCCCCCTTATCACCTGCCTACCACCATCCACCAACCCCTATACATCTGTCTCCCCTGTAACTTCCAAATGTAGTGCTTGCCTCACCCGGCACTGGCTTCAAGAACTTAATCAGCACATTCAAGAATTATCCAGGTTGTCCAGCAAAGTGAGTCCTGAATATACAGCTGCTCTCCATAATCTATTATTACTCCTATAGAATGCACAGACATAAAGATGAAGATTCTGAAAGCCCCAGGAACTACTTCTTATTTGCCACAACAAACACTTGCCAGGCCCCAGCCCCATTAAGAGGCAGAAAACAGAGCTCTCACCTCTACCAGGATGGGGAGAGCCCTGGGGCATCAGTCAGGAGGGTTGAGTTCTGAGCCAAACTCTGTCACTGCCACCCAATTAGCAACTCTCTTCCCATACCGACCCTGTTTCCTAAGCAGGCCACGACACGTATTTGCCTAGATCACTTTTCAGTGCTCTCACATTCTGTGATTCTCGGATTAGGCAAAGGCTTCTTCTTTCTCCCCTTAAAAGATTATATACATATTTCCTGTCGTTGGTATGTCTACCTCCACCGAACTCTATGGCCAGCATCATGTAGGAACACTCAGAAACCAGTGTTTCTCAACCTTTTTATTTTATTATCATCACCTCTTATCCACAAAAGACTTTTCTATATTTTTTTCCTTAATCATCCACACACTGAAATTTTAATACTACAAACATCCTATATTTCTGTTTATATACTATAGCACACTATTTATATACTATATATCTGTTTATATACCATATGTAGAGCTATGATTAATCCATAAAAGAGCAAGTTTTTGTTTTGTTTTGTTTTGTTTCTTTTGCTGCCCCGAAGAACCAGTTGCCATCCCCTTAGCTGGCATTGTTACCTCCATTGAACATAACCTAGACTGAGCTGCAGGTTGCCTCTTGAATGATAGAAGTAGTGTTATTTGACCCAAACTCTACAAGCCACAAACATATTCACAAGCCACAGGTTTTAAAAATAATCCATTACACAAGCCAGGGTGTAATCAGTCAGAGTTCCCATTTCCCCAAAGTATAGAGCAGCTCCCCAGGCCTCAACCCCAGGCCACACTCATCAGTTCCAGGCTCTCTCCTGGTCCTCTCAGCTGGGACCTTCACCTTCACCCACAGTTCCCTCTTCCAGCTCCCACTCCATTCATATGAATCCTGGAAGTAACAACGGGAATGATGGGAATGAGGTGAACAATGGCTGATCATATTCCAGGAATAATTAGAATCCACTACAAGGGCAGAAACAACCCTGGCCTCTGGCATCAATGGAGACTCATTCTAACTCCCCTGCATCAGCCCAGATCCCCTCCCCCATTCCCTGCAGGACATGCCCCTTAACCTTACCTTGGCACACTGGCCAAATAGGTCACGAGTTTCCGTAGGTCTTCCTGTCTTATTCTGTCATGATTGCTGCGAGCAGGGAAGGTCAGGATGGGTCCACCTCGTTTATCACGGCCCCCTGCAGGGAGGGAGAGAAATGAGTATAAGAAAACCAGTCAGAAAGTGTACTGCAGAGGAAAAAGAATTCCATCTAAGTGCTAGATGAAACAGGCAGGAATATGGTGCCCAGAGAAATCTGGTCACTGCTTAAGACAGGGACAGGGGGTTCTGAATGCAGATAACATGGGTGACCTTGGGCAAGTCTTTTGATTTCTTTGATGCCTCATCTGCAAAATGCAAAAGAAAATAAAAATGGTTACATTACTGGGTTGCTGCAAAGATGTATGATGACACATGGGGAAGCACCTTGAAAAGTAGGCTCTTCACAAATGTAAAATGATAATGAAGGTAGTATTCTTTTTTTAATCCTCACTCAAAGATATGCTTATTGACTTTAAAGAGAAAGGAAGGGAGAAAAGGAGAGAAACATCAATCAGTTGCCTCCTGTATTATGCCTCAACCAGGAACTGAATCCACAACATTTTAGCATAAGAAACAACACTCCAACTAACTGACCCACCCAGCCAGGGCTGATATAACTATTATTAATGAGAAAACAAGCCATCGTAAGTGCTATGGTCTTTGTAAATTTAACCTCCAATTCATTTCTCTTTGCATGGCTCTGTGACATGGGAGTACTCAGGATTAACTGACTACCATGGGGAGAAGCCTTAAGGGCATCTTTGCTGGGAGGTCCTTACATTCATATAAAAGATGTTAAGTGTTTTATTTTTTATTATATTTTATTGATTATGCTGTTACAGTTGTCCCAATTTTCAACCCTCTGCCTCTCTCCACCCTGCACTCCCACTCTCTCAGGCAATCCCCACTCCATTGTCCATGACCATGAGTCATGTATGTATGTTCTTTGGTTACTTGTTTCCTATGCTCTACTTTACATACCTATGAATATTCTGTAACTACCAATTTGTACTTCTTAATCCCCTCACATTTTTGCTCATCCTCCTGACCTCCATCCCATCTGGCAACCATTCTCTGTATCTGTGATTCTGTTTCTGTTCTGCTTGTTTATTTTGTTTTGTTTTTTTTGATTCAATTGTTGATAGATATGTATTTATTGCCATTTTATTGTTCATGTTTTTGATCTTCCTCTTCTTCTTCTTAAAGAAGACCTCTTAATATTTCATATAATACCGGTTTGGTCACAATGAATTCCTTTAGCTTTTTCTTGTCTGGGAAGTTCTTTATCTGTCCTTCTATTCTAAATGATAGCTTTGCAGGGTAATCTTGGTTGTAGGTCCTTGCTTTTTCATAACTTTGAATATTTCTTGCTAATCCCTTCTAGCCTGCAAAGTTTCTTTTGAGAAATCAGCTGATGGTCTTATGGGGTATCCTTTGTAGGTAACTAACTGCTTTTTTCTTATTGTTTTCAAGAGTCTCTCTATTTCTTTAACCTTTGACATTTTAATTGTGATGTGTCTTGGTGCGGGCCTCTTTGGGTTCATCTTGTTTGGGACTCTCTGTGCTTCCTGAACTTGTATGTCTATTTCCTTCATCAAGTTAAGAAAGTTTTTTGTCATGATTTTTTCAAATAAGTTTCCAACTTCTTGCTCTCTCTCCTCTCTTTCCAGTAACCCTATGGTGTGACTGTTAGTATGCTTAAAGTTGCCCCAGAGGCTCTATACAGTATCCCCATTTTTTAAAAAAAATGTTTCTTCTTGCTGCTCTGATTGGTTGTTTGGGGTTTTTTTTTGTTTTGCTTTGTTTTGCTTTGTTTTGATTTTTGTTTTTTGCTTCCTTATGTTCGAAATCGATGATTTGATTCCCTGAAAATTTTTCTTTGTTTTAATTAGTGTATCCTTCATTTCTGACTGGATCTTTTTTATGCTGTTGAGTTCCTCACTAAGTTCCTTGAGCATCCTTATAACTAGTGTTTTGAACTCAGCATCTAGTAGCTTGCTTGTCTCCATTTTGTTTACTTCTTCTTCTGGAGTTTTTATGTGTCCTTTCATTCGGGCCATGTTTCTTTGTCTCTTCATTGTATTACATAGAGCTGCTACATCTCACAGGCTTGGTAGAGTGGACTAATGTAGTAGGTGTCCTGTACAATCCAGAGGCACAGCCTTCCCTATAACCCAAACTAGGTATTTCAGGTATGCCCACCATGTGGGCTGTGTATACCCTTCTGTTATAGTTGATTCTTTATTGCTGTTGGCATGTCCATGGTAAGCCACCACCTGTGTTCTTTCCAGGGTCACACAGTATAAACTACAAAGTGATCTGCAGATGGCTGCTACTTATGCTGGGCTTGGAGGTGCTCAGGCGAGGTCAAGCTGTGAACCAAAGCCAGCTGCTGCTAGTGTCAGGCCTGGGGAAACTTAGCAAGAGGTGCAGGCTTGCTGAAGCCAGATGTTGCTTGTTTGAGAGAATTTAAGAAAATCTAAAGCATGGGCCAAGACAAGACATTCATATGGAAAAGTCACTGGAAACACCTTGGGTGGGTCCAAAAGGTGGGTAGGTCTGGGTCTCAGGGAATCACCGATGTGGGGCAAACAGTGTGACCCAGGTTGATGGTATCTCAGATATGGCACCCACCTGTCCGCTCTGTAGCTCTGTTGGGGGAGAGCTCAGAAAAGGAACAGCGGCCTCTGCCAGCATGTCTCTCTGGGAGAAAACTGTCCCCCAGCTCTCATCCTGATGCCATACAATTGAGTTCCTCCCTGTATGTCTCTGGTGCCTTTCAATCTGCTGCCCCCACACTGGAGCTCAGAGGGAGTGAATCTGAGTAAGTTTATGCATGGGCCCTTTAAGAGGAATTTTCAGGGAATCCAGCAGCTTCTGTCTTCCACAGTCTCAATCCCTGCTGAGTTTACAGCTACAAGTTATGGCAACTTCTCTTCTGGAACTCTGGGCTAGGAACCTCATGTGGGGCTGGTACCCCTTATTCCCAAGATATCCCTCCCGATTTTTATCTGCCACACGTGGGTGTGGGACCATCCCTTGCCACATTTCCACACTTCCTTCCAGTCTTGATGTGGCTTCTTCTTTAATTCTGTAGTTGTAGAACTTCCATTCAGCTCGATTTCTGACCATTGTGAATAATGGTTGTTCTATAGTTTTGTTGTAATTTTTATTTTGATGTGGTTGTGAAAGGAGGCCAGCTTTGTTTACTTGTGCCACCATCTTGACTGGAAGTATTGAGTCTGTTGTTTAATGCAGGGGTCCCTCAACCCCCAGGCCATGAGGGTTAAACAACAGAAACTGTACTGGACCATGGCCTGTTAGGAACTAGGCCACATATCAGAAGGCAAGCAAGTGAAGTTTCATATGTATTTACATCTGCGTCCCATCATTGGCATTACCACCTGAGTGCCACCTCCTATCCTACCCTACTCCCCTGCCCTCCTTGTCCATGGAAAAATCGTCTTCCATGAAACTGGTCCCTGGTGTCAAAAAGATTGGGGACTGCTGGCTTAACATGTAGGTTGCTGGGGTTGGCCCTCAAGGGCTCCCATTTAGTAGATCTTGGTTAGAGCCTCAGAATCAGCACTCCAAGCAGTCTGCAGATCAAACTTTGAGAAATATCAACCTCCAAAATAATGGAGGACAATTCTCCAAAGGCTGGATGACATAAAAGAGGGTGTTTATCCTTCCTTGCCCCATAGGCCTTCAGAAACCTACCTCCAATTGATGCCACTCCACACTAAGTGTTTTCTGCACAGCCAAGGATCCACCCCTGCCTGCCTGCCTGAGATGTGACCTGTATTATAGCTCCTGCTGGAGGAGCACATGAATCTTTATCAACAATAAGGATACTCAAGGTCTTAATCACTACAAATGCATTGTACACACTATGATTACAAATATTTTCTAAATATCACATTTTAAAATGCTGGAAGGAGTACACTAAAATGCTGAGCATTGCTGTTATTAGAAGTCTGGGATTTAACATGACTGCTTTTTCTTTCCTCTTTTTCCCAAACTTCTTACTCATTAATGGGTCCTATGATTAGGAAGCAGGGCCAAGTTTCTCAGGAGAATTAGATGGGGATGAAGCCGAGGTGCAATAGCCATGACCTTACAGGCACTGACTACGACACAAAGAAAACCCATGTTGTAATCACAGACTCCCCATATCCCACATGCTCACTGGGCAGCCATCTCACATCCTCCAGAGTGGGGACCACAAGAAAATCTGATGCAAGAGGGAGGGAAGGTTGGCATTGTCATCCTCAATGCTCGAAAAGAAGCTTAAAGCTTAGCCGTTGGAAAAAGGATCTCATCCAGGGAAAGGTAGATAGAGCCTCCAAGAAACCGAACTCAGGTGTGAGTTCGTGAATAATGTTTCCGTGTAATTGTAGGGTCTTGAAGTCACACAGACAGAGGGGAGGATCAACAAATAAAACCAAATCCATTCCAGAATACCTGAAGAGGAAATAAGGAGGCTACAAGGAGAAAAGGATCAAACAAGATCAGGGCCACTGAGAGACTTGCTCTGATGAAAAAAATGTTTCAGCACTACCACACTCCCCCACTTTCCCCGCAGCCCCACTCCAGGGCAGACTTGTGTAGATACACCACAGAGTTGACTCCAGGCCCCTAGCTACAGACTTTCCATACCATGGACACTGGTTCTTTGAACAAATAACCATTCTCAACTTAACACCTTGGAAATTGCCCCCATCTCCCAACTGCCTTCCACTTAAAGAAAAGGAAGCAGAAGAATTGAAGGGAAGGCTTCCTGAGGGCTGGGAGGTTCTCTCATACTCTTGATCTTTCCCTCCAGCCTTACCTCACCCTAATGATTTTCACTCAGGTGCTTTTAATCACAGCTGTTGCCTTTCTTGCTGACTTTCCATGAGCACTTGAAGAGTAGAGCCATGGGAACAAGGGGAGCCAAGGCTCATCTGATTGGCAAAGGCTAACTAAGGAGTTCTGAAAGCTGTTGACAGTGTCCTTCCTGAGCCAGAACCCGTTCTGTCCTTGATGACAGAATTTTCACAAAATCATGGCTGGGGAAGGCAGCAGATGGCAAGGGAGAAGGAGTGAGGGGAGAAA